GAGTGTATCTGGTGGTATTTGAATCTGTTCAACCATGAAGCCTCCGTGGTCTAATGAGTGGTTATGACACTCGCCTTGACAGCGAGAGGTCGCAGGTTCGAGTCCCGCCAGAGGCATTTTATTACACAATTTCTTTATTCATTTATTTACAGGACTACATTCGTTGAGAGCTATGCTACACGTTGTATTTATTAAGTCCTTTATTCGAACACTGTATTTACCTTTCTTTGATGATTTATATATGATTTAACAGTGTTAACGGCTACCTTGATTTATGTTGTATAGTATGGATTAGGTAGGTATTCCCTGGAACTCGTTAGAACAACCTGGGTGTAACAATTTGTTGAACGGCTTATCACGCGCGTTTGTAAAATATCGGCAGGCAGCTCATTAATAGAGATCTCTATTAACAGAGACATCTCTATTTAAATTTAAGATAGCTCTATTTAAAACAAAGATACAGTATCTCTATTCTAAGATATCTCTATGAATAGAGATATCTCTATAATATAGGTGTCTTACTGTACAGTACCGTAGTTTTAAATGGAGATGCCGTAAAACCTCAAATTGAAGCCCAGTGGGCTTAATCTCAAGATGAAGCCCATCTTGAATTGAAGCCCCCCTCTTTAGTTTGCAAAATTACCCTGGAAAGGAAGCGCATGGGCTTCTTTTCCAGATAGCATAGGCTTCTTTTCGAGATAGTACAGTACATAGACTGTACATGAATTGTACATTGGCCTTATTTATTGTTTTATAGTACAAATTCACAAAAGTCACACCATTGATTTTGAAAAGGAGCCCCCTGCCCCTCTTTACTTTGCAAAGTAGTCTTCAAAAGAAGCCATGGGGCTTCAATTCAAGGTTTTACTGTATCTTTGCTTTAAATAGATATATCTTGGTTTTAACCCTTTGAAGTCGCAGTCCGTATACCTGATGGACCAATTTACTGTCGCAGGAAGCCAGCTCCGGATACAGTACGGACTGACTTTTAGTGATGCTATAAAAGAAAGAAGTCTGAAACGGCCATTAAAATGTACAGCATTCAATTATACATTTGTCATTTGATAATTTGATATGGAAAATATAAATACGAAAATACTATACATGAAAAAGTAACAGACAGGAAAAAATAAGTACAGTATGGCAAAAATGAAGCGCAAATGAAATGACCTGTATTCGTCCTACCTAGGCCAGTCAGAAAGGTGCGTGGTGGACTTAAAAAATAAAATAATTTGGGCATTAGCCTAGCTGCTAAGCCTAAGGCTTGGCCTAGGCCCTAGCCTAGTCTGTGGAGCGCCAACAACAAACTCCACCAACACTGACAGTGCCTGTCCTGTACCAGGCCAGGCAAAATTGGCCTGGCAGTAATAATAATACTGTATATTACTACGTACCTGGTCACCGTCGTCAAGAGTCTTCAAAGTAAACGTTTTTCGGCCCATGAGTTTATTCAATTTTTCGTCAACACTTGTGTGGACTTTATTAGAATAGGGAAATATCAACAACACCCAGTTTCAGAACACAATCCGCCAATCTTGCAATGTTTATTATTATCGCTGACGTACGCTGCCGATACAACCAAAGACACTAGAAATACAAGATAGAGTTCTACACACAAAAAAAGTGTTCCACCGTGTTCCTATACACATCTAGATGTGTATAAGAGACAGCAACAATACAGCGAAGAATCGCATGGCCGGACGCACTCTTAGTGAAAAAGTTTTCCTCCATTAGTGGAAAAGAAGGGCGCCTTTTGCGTCTGGATATACTTAGCAACAGAAGGGCGCCCTGTACGTTGGGCACGAAGTATAGGAAACTTGCATGGTTAAAAAGAAGGGCGCCGCCTACGTTGGGCACGACTTCCGCCTCATTTTTACAATGCGAGAATTCTATCTTGTATTTCTAGTATCTTTGATACAACACAGCAGATGATTGGATGAGCCAAAAAATGACGTCATATCAAGAGACACAGCAGAGGGACGTTCGGTGGTGATTTGTAAACTTCAGGGAAGAGTATGTATGCAAAAGACGTGTTTGTAAGAAATTAAGGGCGAGTTGTAATTGGGCGACTTGTTTAGGGACCTCAATATTGACCTCACTCAGAAAAAGATTAAGAATCAAGGATCAATAATAATCAATATTAACCTATACATTGAAACAGAATTTAAAGTTTAGAACTGTATTAAATGAGCAATTTCGGGGGCGGATTTTTTAATTAACTTACTCATTTTGGAGTAATATCAAAATTATAAACTTGAACATAGAAATTAGTGTATTTATACAAAAGTTTACCTATGATAATAGGTAAACTTATGAAAGATTATAGAAACACCTTTAATCTAATTAATGAGTGATGTTCTATGCCAGAGCCATATATATAAAGAGTTGCGACATTCCGCTCCTTGGTTTGCGAAAGTCACGTGGTCGCAACTCTTTCTATCTACGGAGCTGCTCTATAATAATAATAATAGGAACTCTACTCTATGCCAGAGCCATATATATAAAGAGTTGCGACAATAAAATGTATGTTACTAATTATACAAGTTGAATATATCACAGATCCATATCATTTAACACTTACTATTTATAACATTTACAGCAAATCACAGTTTATATATTGCGGCCAACTGACCTATACTATTTTAATATGTATAAATAATAATAATCAAATTAATAACATAACTTTTTTTATAGGGCTCGCTCATATTCAAATTCAAAGAGCAACAATCTATATACCCTAGGTAGACGGATTTAAATTTCATTTTGATATACGTATTTAATTAATTTTTGCTGGTCGTCACATAGGCCTATCATTTATTTGCAAAAATAATAAGAGCTACTTAAGGATTGCCTAATTAAAGAATGCTGGTCATCGAGGGGCTCTCTCGGTCCTCGGCGAGGATTAAAGAACTGCTTAAAAATAGTAAATTATTACAGTATTTATAATATGAAATTGGATATAAAGTAGTGAAATCATTAAAAAAAAATCTATAAATAGTTACCGGTACATGAAATTCGACTGCTAAAAAGATTAAATGAAATTAAACTATACAGGAGGCCGCTAATTGTATTTATACAATATTATACACAGAAACGCACATCACGTTAGACACAGAACGCGCATCGCGTTTGAAACAAAATGGCTTCTAAATTCCCAATGTCGCAACTTTTTCTATCTATGGCTCTGCTCTGCTGGCTCTGCTCTGCTCTATGCCTCTATGCCAGAGCCGTAGATAGATTTGATAGCTCTGCTCTATGCCAGATTGATTTATTGATGATGCTTAAATAAAAATGAAACGTTGAATAAAATTGTAATTTTTGGAGTGACATCCACACTATTTGTACTTAAGTACTGGTACGCATCCTAATGGTTAAATTGCCTATTTAACTCTCCGTTAGA